CTCCAACATTTAATCTGAGCAGAGAAGAATGAAGCAGCAAAAGAGACTGAAAAGGTGCCTCCAGATAACAGAAGAGTAGCCAGGAATATAAAATCAAGAAAAGAAGGAAAGTCAGCAAGGAGAAGGCTCAACTTGGCAAACTCTGCTAAGGAAATGATTTGACAAGGCCTAAAGTGTGTTTTCTGAATATGACAACACAGAGGTCACTGAAGACTTAACAAGATGCATAGTTGTTTTCACTGGCATAGATTATAATAAATGGAAAATTTATACATCAGCTCAATATCTGACAGTTATAGTAGTTATAAAAATGTGCAACAAAATACCGTACTGATAAACAGAGCTCAACAAAATGCAGGAAAAATGTGTATCATGAATGGGAAAACAAGTATGGTTTAAAATCTGAAAATTAATCTAAGTTAAGATTCAGTACATTAATAGTGAAAATCACATGATAATCTCAATATATGCAGGGAAAAATCCAATAGAATTCAATACCTTTTAGTGGATAAAAAAAAATCAAAAAAAAAAAAAAAAAAAAGAATAACAGAAGGGAATGTCCTAAACTTGATAAGAGATATTTAAGAAAAATCTACAGCCAACATACCTGATAGTGTTCCCCCATTCAGTTTAGGAATAAAACAAAGACATCCACCTCTATTTGCAGATAGTATGATCTTTTGTACACAAACTCCTAAGGAGTTCACTAAAATGTAATATGTAGGTCAGCATTGTAGCATGGTGTATTAAGCTGCTACCTGTGGTGCCCAAATTCCACATAGGAGCAACAGTTTGAGTCCCAACTGCTCTGCTTACAATCCAGCTCTCTGCTTGTATGTCTGGGAAAGCAGTAAAAGATGACTTAAGTAGTTAGACTCCTGTGCCCATGTGGGGACCTAGATGGAGTTCCTGGCTCCTGGATTTGGCCTAATCCAGCCCCATTAGTTCTGGCCATTGGGGACGTGAATCAACATATGGAAAATCTCTTTCTTTATCTCTGTCTCTATATGTCACTCTTTCAAATAAAATATAAACCTTAAAAATTCCTAATACAATAAATAAATACATTCAGTCATTGATAGGATTTAAGCTCAAAACAAAAATTGATTGTATTTTTATGCAGCATTACAAAATAATCCAAAAAAATAAATATTTCTAAAATAATTTCATTTATAATGGGATAAAAAAGATTAAAATGTTTAGGAAAAAATTATCAAAATTAACCAAAAACTTACACTGTTAAACCTACAATACAGAGGGAAGAAATTAAAGAGCTCAATTATGAAAGGCCATCACATGTTCATAGACTGGGGAACTTCATGCCGCTGAGGTCAGGCTGTTCTGCAGCAATTCCCATGAGTAGTTCAGCTAACTTGGCTTATTATGTAAGTTGGGAAATGAAAAGTCTAAGTTTTCCAACTTTGTTCCTTGTCATGATTACATGGCTCTCTTAAAATTAATGATTTTCACCTTTATGTATTTTTGGTTCTTTTCATACTATGTGAAGTTTAGCACAATAGTAAGTTTCTGAGAAGAGTTCCAGTAAGCTGCCTTTAGCCTGAGTGTGGCTATTGCTGGCATTTGAGGAATAAACCAGTGAATGGAAAATCCCTTTCCATCTGTCTGTTTCTCATTCACTTCAAAGAAAATTTTTAAAAATTTAAAGATGAGTAAAGTATCTGAATAGATATTTCTCAAAGGAAAATTTTAAAATATCCAATAAGCATGTGAAAAGTTGCTCAACATCATTAGCCTTTAGGGAAATTCCAGTGAGAGAGAGAGAGAGAGAGATAGAAAGATGCCACTTCGCACCCACTAAGTTGCCTACCGTAGAAAAAAAAGAAGAATAAGAAGAACAAGAAAATGTGGCAGAAGTTGGAATTTCATCCACTGCTGACAGGATAATAAAATGGTACAGATACTTTGGAAAACAACCTGTCAATTTCTCAAGGCTCAAATTTAAAGTAAATATATGATCTCATATACATATATATGTATGTATGTATGTATATACATATATATTTGAAAACCAATGTTACAGATAGAGGAGGAGAGATAGAATCATTCCCTAGATGGTTGCAACAGCCAGAACTGGGCCAGGCCAAGCCCAGGATCCCGGAGCTTCTTCCCACATGAGTGCAGGGCTCCAAGCACTAGAGCCATCTTCTGCTGCTTTCCTAGGTGCAGGAGCAGTGAGCCGGTCTCAAACCAGCACCCATATGGGATGCTGGCATCACAGGTGGAGTGTAGTTTGCTATGACACAATGCTGGACCCTACCCAATAGAATTCAAAAACTAATAGACAAGCCTGGAAAATAGCATGAGCAAAATGGAACATGGTATTTGCTTTCTTCATACTTACCATTCTATCAAGAGGATAGATCATGAACCAGAGATTACGTAATATGTCATTTACTTATCATCAGGATGATCATGGGTCCTGTAAAGCCTTGAGAGTACATAGCAAGAAGTCATTTAGCTTCATGCCCGTTTTCCATTATTTCCCAGCACAGTACTTTCAGAGAGAAGATATTCAATAGCTATTTTCTTTCTCTGAGTATACAAAAGCTGAGAGAGATAGAGAATGATAACTTCACGGCTTGGAGTTCAATAGCTGCTCTGATAGTATAAGTATTCATTTTATTTTAAAAAGAATTCAACAACTATATAACATAGGTGCTTCCCTCAAGGAGTTCAAAATTTACCAACAGAAGAGATAATATAAAGACACACAAATAAAAAATATGACAATATGATTGAGACCCTTAGGGCAGAATTTTTCCATTCTGTTTATTACCTGCAGGCTGCAGGTGACAGCTGTCAAGTGACCCACAGGCCACTCAGAGAAGGATAGACAGGACACAGGCATCTCCCTGCACAGAACTTCATTTTTAAAATATTTTATTTACTCAAAGTTCAATGATGAATGAACACACCTAAGAGAGTATGACACTTGTTAGATCGATTGTAAGACTTTCTTTTGATTAAGTTTAATTAACACAGAGAAATGCACTCCAAGAGAAATCTAACCTTAACCTGATTATGTCCTTTACACTAAGACATGGTCACCTGCACGACTCTTATGCTGACTCCTGAGTAAATTCAGGCTAAACTGAAAGGTCACGACTAACTGTTGGCAAAAATGGGAATAAGATCATTTGAAAGGTCCTCTATACTCTTTGTCATCACACGTATAGCAGTAGCCTGGAGGCTTTAGGATTTGTTGTCAAGACTTCCAAGCAGGAAAAGACAATAAACAGGGAAGGAACTTGATCCAGGACCGACTCTTTTCTCTCTGTATCTCCACTCCTGACATTCAACTACCTTCTGGTGTCCAGGGTTATAAAGACTAGTCCTTTTAGGGAAGTGCATTGAATGGTTTGCTTTGGGTTTGTTCACTTGACACTGCTGTTTCCTAGTGTTCCCTTCATGGAACATCTGCATAAAAATCAGGAATCAATATTAAATGCATGTTCCTGAATCCCAACCCAGAGCTACTGAGTTGGATTCTTTGAAACTGAAAACAAAAAGCTTCCATTTGCAGGAATCTGGTTAAGTGATTCCGTTTCTGGTTAAGCCATAAGCACTTGCCTGCTCTTCCTTCGTGGTCCAACAGTCACACTGCATGAGTATGGTTGATGCAATGTCCAGCAGTGCCCAGTGGGTTGCCCATCTCAGGGAAGGTTTAGGGTTTTAATGGAGGGTGGGCTCTGAGGATTCCACCTAAATAGGGACATTTCAACTACCAGGACAATGTGGTTGCACTTTCTCTTTCATTCCTTCTATGTTACTTCCTGAAAGTCTTTGTTTTGTCCTTCTCTATTTCAGATCCTTTCACCAATGTAAGGGTACTTTTACAAGTTTTGAGGGAAAATGGAACTAAAAGATAAATTTATTTGAATCCATGCATATGAGAGATTTCCAAAAGGTTTGTAACAAATGCATAGCATGGAAAAAAAATTCTGTGCGGATTTCAAATAATTTTACACCCAATTAAACTTATCTTTTAATTCCTTTTTCCAACACACATTCTAAAGTATCCTCATATATGTATCAGTTAGGAAACCAGTGAAACCTTAGATTTATACATGATTTTATAACTTTAGGCTTACCAACTGGATTCTGCAGAATGCAACTGCAACCAGACATGACTAAAAACTGTCCAGATTTTCCAAGGTAACCATTTAAGTATTATGGGAAAAAGAACACTAGTGGAGAAAAAAGATATTATTCTGAAATACATTCGAAAACTAGTGAATTTAAAGTAAGCATGTTTCTTCACCATACGAAGTATCGTAGCTTTCACCATAAGAGGTCTTCATAAAATTCACAAGAAATGCATATTATGAAAACTCCATGCACAAATTTCATATTTCACAAACCTATCTGCGAATCAAGTTCCTGTGAGCTTTTTGAAGCACCCTTGTTTGCTTGTGTATTTCCCAGACATGCCATCCAAGTACATATCCTAGCTTTTCTCAGGGAGACTCTTGAAGCTGTCCTGCCTGAAGATCTCTTTGCAAAGGCTATTCTAGGTTTCAGCAGGCTGCCTGCCCCTCTGTCACACTCATGCTACACAACGATTCAGACTTCTGCTGTTATAAAATATTGGGGGGGGGGGGAGTTTCATTTCAAATATTTAAGATTACAATGTAAAGTTCTAAATGAGTACTTTTTTGTAGAACAGATGTTATTTCCACAAATAATTCATTTCTATTTTCTTCTTTCTAAAGTTGTTTCTATCATATTCCTGGAAAAGGTCAGGTCTTCCTTATGCGCAACTGCTTGAGTTTTCTTAGGCAGATCATAAAACAGCTAAATAATAAGATTCCATGGGATAACAATGCAGATTTCATTACAACAGCTCACAGAGACTAGAAAAGGCAGTGACAATTTCAGGGTTGCACTGGGGTAAATACATCCAAATTCATCTTTCAAATCCATTGCTATGTAGGTAAAATAAGGACCTAATGGATGTTGATGTTGAATTTTGCTTGCACCCTCTACAGAGCTAGGCTGTGATGTTATCTGGGAGAAAGACGCCAACACACACATTTGCTACCAACTCAACCTGCTGTCATCTCTTTCCTGGACTGAGGCACATTCATCATGCCAGATGCAAGGAGGTGCTCTACTAAGCATTATGGATGAAGCTGAAGAAAATTTCCTAAGGAGTGAGTAGGTGGATTGTGCACATGCTCATTGATGTAGTAAAATGTTGAAAACTCTATCAGTGTATGAAAAAGCATATTGTGGGGTAAGCGTTTTTCTTAGGAAATATTTTTTAAACATTGATCAAACCTAAGATTTTCGCATGACCCATGGCCCATTCTATCTGGCACCCACTGAAGTCCTCCTTACTGTTTCCATCTTGTGGAAGAGAGTTTGAGGCCACTACAAATGTCCTGTAAGAGTTCAGCTCCGGCAGGTTCATCAGGAGACATCCAAACTCAGGGCTGATTCTGGTTCTTTGTGGGGTTCTTCACTAGGTACCTTCCACTTTTAAATAATTAAGTAGTCTAATCCACAGTCTAATCCATCACTCTAATCCATCACAGACTTTCTGGGGGATGCCAAAGGACTTAAAAATTAGAGGGAAAAAGATAAGAGCACATTAGCAGGCTTTACATAAGACAATAATACAAGATGTCATCTAATATGTTAAAAATCATTACTTGTGTTCCCTCATCGCTAAACTCTCCTTTTCTCCTTTCTAGCCTAGTTATACTTATGTGCATGTACAAATGACTCTTTAAACACTCTTTGATACATTAAGAATTGACACAAAATTAGTTTAATTTAAACTTCCTGACACTATTTTTCAACTGTATTGCACAAGTAGTGCATGTTTATTTTAGAATAATTTTGAAATTTCAAGTTTAGGGAGTAAAATGAATGGAAAAGCTGCATAATTTCACAATATAGAGACAGCCGCCATATAATCTGAAAAATGTACTAACAATACACACGTATTTATATAACACTATGTAAAAAGAGTATACATTATATAAAAACATGAAGTGGCTATTTCCTAGTGGACAGGAGAAGAAGCAGAGGGCCGACTGTTCAAGTCTGAATCCTGACTCTACCACTAGGAGCCAGAGTTCTCCTAGTAAGTTGCTTGATCACTCAGTACCCCAATTTCACCCTCCAGTATGTGGAAAGAGTGAGCATTGCTTACTTCTTGCTGTGGAGTATGTTCTATAATGCAGATGAAGTCTGGGGAAAGTTCCTGATACATGTAACACTTGATATGTGCTAACCATTTGAAAACAATCATGCAGAGTTTGGTAATGTGCTTACTTCATTTTCCTGCCTACAACGAACACCTATTCCTCTCTAGAACTATAAATATGTATTATAATTTTTAATGGTAACCAACGAGCATTGGTTGACAGTAATGTGATAACCTCATCTCTTCCTATTCAGGCTAAATAGAATTATTTATTTAGTTTTATTTAGTTTTATTTGTATTTACTTACGTTTATTTAATATTATGCTAAAGCATCCATGCACATGCTATTCTGCATAGCTCGCCAATTATTTCTCTATAGATGTATAGAAAAAGAGTCACTGGGTGGAAGAAGGAAACTCTAAAGCTTTTGAAAACTATTCGTACTTTTCAGAGGGATTGTAACCATCTCCACAGCCATGCAAAAATGAGGAATCAGCACTGAAGCTGATTTGACAGAGTCGTGTTGCAGGAAAATACAAATTCTCAAAATCACTCTTAGCCTGTAATTATTTTAATGTAAAAGTTTGCACATCATTTATTCATTTCAGTGCTTTCTATCTTATATGTGAGCATTTCTCATGAGAAAGCTTGAACTTGAGGAATACCTTCCAAATAGGTTATTCTAGAGTCTCTGATTTAAACACATTTGGTGAGATGGTATAGCACACAAATCCTTTGCCTGTGGTGCCAGGATCCCATATGGGCACCAGTTCAAGCGCCAGCTGCTTCACTACACATTTAGCTCCCTGTTTATGATCTGAGAAAGCAGTAGAAGAAGGCCCAAAGCCTTGGGACCCTGCACCCACATGGGAACCCAGAGGGAGATGGCTCCTGGCTTTGGATCAACTCAGCTCCAGCTGCTGAATCCATTTCATGAGTGAACCAGCAGATGGAGGATCTTTCTCTCTTTCTCTCCATAAATCTGATCTCCCTTTCCAAGTAAAATGAATTAATCTTTTAAAAAAATTAATAAAAAGATAGATAGTTAAATAAATACCTCAATTCTATCATTTGTTTTCTGGAATTATTTAGGAAGATGGGTTCATTAATAAAGACAAACCTGGTCTGACCAAGGTATTTTTTTAAATGATGAGGATAGCCTAACATTTCTTGCCAACCAATGGTGAAACATTAATTATGCTATAAAGAACTTTTTAAGTTGTCTCAAATGCTAAGAATAGCCAAAGAAATTTAGATTTGAATTTATATTTCAGTATTTTGGATTAATTTGGGCCTTTTTTTTTTAAAGACTTATTTACTTTTATTGGAAAGGCAGATTTACAGAAAGGACAGAGAAAGCTCTTAATCCACTGGCCCACTCCTCAAATGGTCAAAATGGCCAGAACTGAGCTGATCTGGAGCCAGGAACCACGATCTAGGAGTCTCTTCAGGTCTCCCATGTGGGTGGGACAAAGGCTTTAGACCAAGGTTTTAGACCATCTTTCACTATTTTCCCAGGCCATAGCAGATAGCTGGAAAGACAATGAAGCAGCCAGGACTTGAAGGGGTATCCATGTGGGATGCTTATGCTTGCAGGTAGAGGATTAGCCAATTGAGCCATCACATTGGCCCCCTAAATTGGACATCCTTAAATACAGATTTTAAATTATGCAATAATATTTATGTGCTATGAAAACATCTGGATTTCAAAATCATTAATTAGCATTTTAATTATATTATTTAAAAATAGCTAGCAATTGGGCCCGGCACGGTGGCGCAAGTGGTTAAGGTCCTTGCCTTGCACGCCCCGGAATCCCTTATGGGCGCTGGTTCTAATCCCGGCGGCCCCAGTTCCCTTCCAGCTCCCTGCCTGTGGCCCGGGAAAGCAGTCGAGGACGGCCCAAAGCTTTGGGACCCTGCACCCGCGTGGGATACCCGGAAGAGGCTCCTGGCTTCGGATCGGCATAGCATCAGCCGTTGCACTCACTTGGGGAGTGAATCATGGGACAGAAGATCTTCCTCTCTGTCTCTCCTCTCTGTATATCCGCCTTTCCAATAAAAACATAATAAAAATAAATCTTTAAAAAAAATAGTTAGCAATTATATTATTTAAAATAGATAATCTGGATTTGAAACATAGAAGTGTCTTCCTATCTTGTCAATCCATCTTTTATTTTGCCTATTGCTACTACAAATGCTGTTCTATGATTTAATCAAATGATATGGGAAAGAGTGATCAAATGATATGGGAAGGAGTGATCATTAGCAAGAGACTCCACGTTAATACCACAGGGAACTGGAATGTTGAGGCCCATGTATGTTATGCTGTTAGTTAAGTAATTTATGTGATCTCAAAATCATAAAACAACATGTTGTGTTTTCTTATGAGGGTTTGATTCTTTCTATTCTTGTATTAAAATGTATTAAAATGTCTACCCACTAAAGATGATACAGTGTTGTTATGTAAATCAGCTGACCTCATTAAATGGGTAATTATACAGTCTGCCATCCAGGGTGAGACTTCTGACAGTAAAAGGCACCGCAACTGATGACTATTCTGGAACTACCTGGACAAACCATGAGTTTTTCAGGCAAACGAGGACATACACATGCCCTGCTTTTAACTCTTAGCTATCAGGGTTTTAATCTCAGCCTGGACCTTTGCATCTTACAGTAAACTGGATTCTGAAACTGACAAACCATTAGAGAACAATGCTCTCCTTTTAAAAATGAGATTGGTAAATGGCAACATAGGAAAGTGGCACAAAATTATCCATTTTTACTAGATGTTTCTCATGTTCTTTTTGTCCAAATTTTATTGCACAAGACATTTGTGTTTATTCTATGATAATTTTGTAAAGCTCAAGTCAAGAAAAAGTGACAAAAATTGCAAATAATGCTCTTGTTTCCATAGCACACACATGAATGCAAATGTTTAGTCCTGGCATCTGTAACAGTTTTTCAAAATTTGCTTTTATCTGAAAGACAGAGACAAAGTTTACGCATTTGTTAGTTCACTACCCAAATGCTCAACAACTAGGGCCAAAGCCAGGACCCTACTCAGAGTTCTCAGGACCCTACTCATATGCTGATTAGCTTTCTCCCAAAAACGTATGGAATTAAAACGTGAGCGCTAGAACAGGTGCCACAGAGCCAGCCTACCATGAAACTCCCACCCCAAGTTGTGGAAACAGCCTTGAGTGTGGGCACTGCACATTGCACACAGCTTCCCTACTCAGGATGGCACTGCACACTCTGAGCCCTTGGATTCTGCTGCCCCTCTCGGCCAGACAGTCCCTATAGCTGTTATAATACACAGCTCCCTGGCTGCTCTGTCCCTGCAGGCTGTCCTATCTTTTGCTGTGCACGTTGTGAGATCCCATCACCTACCCGCCCCCCACCCACCCTACCCTCCTGTACCTTCTAAAACCCTGAAGCACATGAACTCCCATAAATAAAATGGTCTCAAATTTGTGGCACCCTTAGATTAGGTTGTCAACCATGATAAGATCACCTTTCTGGATGCTTGGATGAAACAATTCATAAGTAAACTACAGTCAGGGGGTTTTAGTGGACTGTCGTGTTTTGCAAAATGGTGGAAACAACAGGATGGGGCTTAGTAGTCCATAAGCCTTTTTCTGGCACTGACTGGGATTGCCTTATGACTCCATGACCTGGAATTGGGAAAAACAAAACCCTTGCATTTTTTTTGAAACTTCATGTTGTCTATTTCAGAGCAGATGAGCAGTGAAGCAGTGGAGGTATGGACTGGTCTGAATCAGCTGGATGTGAATGCTGGCTGGCAGTGGTCTGATGGGACGCCGCTAAGATATCTGAACTGGAGCCCAGGTACCGTGGTGTTTTATTAAGTTTCCACTTGTGGCACAGGAAATAGCCTTCCCTGGTGAATCTACATGACATGTTGTCATAAAGGTGGTTTATCAACGTTCATAAGCCCCGCTGCATTTCTACAAGGCAAGCTTCTCCAGACTAGAAGATGAGGCCAAAAGGTAAGTTGACTCAGCTGAGGCTGCAGTAGGGTTTGCATCAGAGCCAAGATTGTGGTCTGCTGTCTTAAAAAAATAGCAACAGATCACAAAATATCTCTCTACAGTACAACAAAATTGGTTCTTTCACAGCCTTTGGGAGATCACGTAATTGCTTTGCCTGAACTTTACCTGCAAAATCACAGACCCCTCTATACCAAAAGAAAAGAATCTCCTCGATGCTAAAATCGCATTCTGCATACTTTAATCTCTCCTCAACACACATGCTGTATTTTTCAGAGACACATTTTGAACCATTTGTCGAATATCACTGTGGAACTTTCAATTCACTGATGCCAAGAGCCTGGAGGAGTCGAGACTGTGAGTCCACCTTGCCTTACATATGTGAAAAATACCTCAACCACACGGATGATGACACAGTTGGTAAGTATTGTAATGTTAAGTGACTCTCATGTGTTGCTTGCCTTCTCAATCAATACACATTCTTTCACTTTTATCTTAAAAACATCATACTTAAACTAAGCTAAACTTTGTGTTTTGATAATTAAAAATGTATAACTAGCTAATATCCAGTATTCTAAAGGTTCTCTGAAGTGGACAAATGCCTATAGGTTTTTAGTATAAACTAAAACAAAATTTCCTACACATAGCAAATAGTTTGTTCAATTCTTAAAAATAAAAAACAAAAATCTACAACTGGGTTTTAGTCATTTAGTTTGTGTTAGAGAAACAAACTATTCTCCCTTTTACCTTTTAGCTCTGAATTCTATATTTCCTCTAGAAAGTAAGCACAGATTGGAAGATAGTTTTGTTAAATCTTCCACTGATTTTTAAATTATTTTTAAGCTGATACATAATTATATGTGTTAGGGGAACAGTACAATTTTTTAAAGGATTTAAAAAATTTATTTGAAAGGCAAAGCTACAGAGAGAAAAGGAGGACAAAGACAAAGAGGTTGAGTCAGGGAGAAGGTGAAAGAGAGAGAGAGAATCTTGCACTGCTGGTTCACTCTCCAAATGGCCACAACGACAAGGGCTGGGCCACACCCCATGCTGGGAGTCTGGAGCTTCTCCTAGGTCTTTACCATGTGTGTTCAGGGCCCCAAGAACTTGGGCCATCTTCTGCTGCTTTCCCAGACATGGAAGCAGGAAGATGGGCTGGAAGTAGAGCCAGGACTCCAGCTGGAGCCCATACGGCATGCCAGAGCTAAAGGTGAAGTTTTAGCATGCTGTACCACAACACTGGCTCCCAGTATAATGCTTTGATCCATGTATACTTTGTGTAATAATCAAAACAGCTTACTATTACCTATATGATAACATTTATCTTATCTTTGTGGTCAGAACACTCAAAATCCTCTCTTCTAGCAACTTTATCTCCCCACTATATAATGTAACCCCAGAACTGCATTTAAGTGTCTTGATTTCCTATTTCATTGATTTTTCTAGCACACCTGTATTTCTTATTCAGAACACATCCTGATGAAATAACATTCAAAACTTTTAGATGCCATAAAGGCTTGAGGAATACCTAATTGCAATCCAGTGCCTGAAATCCAATTATTTGTTTTTTTTTAAGGACTATTATTTCTTTTAGTATCTGGGGGAGTTAATGTTTTAACTCGGAAAGTAGAGATAAAAACAACCATTTTTAAAAGAATCATTACAAGAATAAAGCAGCAATTCTAGAGTTAAGATAATAAACTGAACCATCATTTTCAAAGATTATTATTGCCAAGTGGATCTTATCTTTTTTATAACCTTGGAGATGCCAAGTTTAGAAATGCCACTGAATGTGGAGGAGAGAGTGGGAAAGAAGCCGCTTCCTGTCATTTTTTCTGTCAAGATTATATTCCCATCATTCTGAGAATTTGCTGAAATTGTTACTGGATATTACTGTTCATGTCATTCTACCACTATCTTCTTTCCATGCTCCTTTCTCCATTTCTTCTGTCACTGTGATTTCTATTTCCTCTGCCTGCCTGAATTCCCTCCTGCCACCTTTGTTTTCATCTGTTTTATCCATTCCTGTGACCTCTGCACAGTACAAATTGAAGTCAAATGACCAGAATTGGGGGTAGTGACACTCAGCTGGTTTGAAATATTTGCTGTTGCTTCGTCAAATTCTTTTGAGGGGTAGGCCAGTGCCTTCAGATTGTACTGCTATGATTTCAAAATCTCTGCTGGTCCTGTCCTTGTTCCAGCTGGAGTTTCCCTTTTATCTTTGCATCTTGACTTTAGAGACTGAACATTTCACTTTTAAACACTGCTCTAAGTTTTTTAGATTACAGACTACGTGGGTTGATGATATCACAATGTTCTCATAGTTTTTGACTATGAATCTAATTACTACCAGAGTCCCAGAAGCAACTTTCAATTTGTTTGCTTACCCAACAGTAGCAAAGACTCATCTAACAGAATTAGTTCTGAAGAGTGAGGGGGCCCCTGGCTGTGATTAATACAATATAATTCTAAAATTAATACAATATAATTCTAAACAGCTTTTGGAAAAAGAATGGCAAGCATTCCCCAAACACCAAGGCTCTGCAATTCCTGTAAGTGCTGCTCATCGGCATATCCACCCAGGGTGACACCACAGGCAACCAAAGGTGGCTGTCCAGGTGACATTTCTGTCAACCCTGTGCTGGAGAACACAGTCTGAATGTGGACTCTTTTCAGCAGATGATAACTGTGTGCCCCGTTCACGCCCTGCATATAAAGTCCCTGCACTAGAACTTAAACTGTGTTCCAAAACATCACTCTTTGTGCCAGGTGAAAAGAGTTCACAGATGGAAAATTTACTGTTCAAGATTCTATTTGGTCCTAAGTCTCTGTCATTGCATGACTGTTGCCACAGCTTCTGCTTCTCCTTACCTGACAGTTCCCAGATCAAGAAGGGAATCCTACACTAGATCCTCCTCAATGCAGAAGGTCTAGAATTCCATGACTTATTTCCTAGGTTTATCTTTTTCATGTTGTAAAAATTATCACACTGATGACCATTTATACAAAGGGTACTAAGTAAAATACTTGTGGAAATGACATTGTTTTTGTTTGTTTGAAAAGAAAAAGATGCTTGGAAATATTATGCCACCCATTGTGAGCCTGGCTGGGAACCCTACCATCGTAATTGCTACAAACTTCATAAAGAAGGAAAGACTTGGAATGAGGCTTTGCATGCTTGCCTCTCTAGTAACAGCACGTTAGTAGACATACGCTCATTAGCAGAGGTGGAGTTTCTTATCACCTTGCTTGGAAATGGTGAGTACAGCTTTGCCTTTGAGTTAAAAGCTAAGTTTTCTTGTGTCTTGAAAATAAACTGAAAATATGTCATGGTGAAAAAAATTAAAAGAAAAAAATGAGAAAGGAAAGAAGGGAGAGGTTAGGAGTCGAGGTGAGAGGAAGGGTTGGGCATGAAATGTCACCATGTGCTTAAATCTGTATATATGAAAAACAAGTTCACTTACCGCAATCCGCAATAAATCAAAATGTCTTAAAAAGTAGAAGAGAACAGAAATAATAATAGAAATTATTGTAGTAATATATGGAAAACTCTAATTCCATTGCAACAAATATCAAATAATTCCAGCATCTGCCCAAATAAAAGTTTGAGTTAGACTACCATAACTATTTTTATTAGCAGAGTTAAAACACATTTCAACTATTTAGAAGACCTTATTTATGACACATATATTTGAAATTTCCAATTAATATCCACACAGAGTATAAATTCATTAGACTGTTATGAAATAGGTGTTCAGGAACTTTGCAATGTATTCATACATGCCAGATATTTAAATTTTTTTAAAGGCAGAGGTCATTTTCTGAAACTGTCAATAAAAAAGCTTAAATTTGTAATTCAGCATTATGTCCACGCGACAGCAGTAATGTGTAGAAGTGATATAATGCAGGCAGTAAAGAGAATTTGGGGGCAAATGACAAGTTTAAATAAATTTGAGAAGTGGTACTAGTTCATTCATCTGGTGCAGGGTTCTCAGGCTGTACCCATATTCACAAGTTCCAGGCTGCTGGGACTTCACCAAACTTAGTCCAACTGAGCAGGTCTGCTTCTTCCTGTCATGTGTAATTTGACATGGAAGTCTGCTGAAATCACTGCAGCCACCTGCTTCATATTTTACTTTTTAAAATTAAAAGGAAACTGCTCAGATTCTATTTTTCAATAATATGTTTTCATTTGAAGGGGAAACACAAATCCTTCTTTGTCTCTTTTCCCAATCCTTTGCCAATGGGATTAAGATGATCCATCTCAATAAAAGCTTTTGAACCTCATCCAGGCATCTAAGGTTTTTTCACCCTACCCTGCCTGACAAGCTTGTATTTCTTTTTTTTTTTTTTAAGATTTATTTTATTGGAAAGGCAGATTTACAGAAAGCAGGAGACATGGAGAGAGAAGGTCTCCCATTTGCTGCTTCACTCCCCAAATTACTACAATGGCCAGAGCTGAGCTTATCAGGAGTTGGGAGCAAGGAGCTTCTTTCTTGTTTTTCACAAGGGTGCAGGGTTCCAAGGACCTCGCCCATCCTCCATTACTTTTCCTTAACACAAGAAGAGGTCCAGATGGGTAGTGGAGGAGGTGGGACATGAAATGGCATCCATATGGATGCTGGCACCACAGGGTGGAGAATTAGCATGCTGTGTCACAGCACCAACCTCAGCTTGAGTTACTTTTATAGAAACCTACTGTTTTCTATTTTAGTAACAACAAAAAAACGGGGAAAAAATTAAAATGGCTATGAAAAGACTATTTTTTAAAACTAGACTAGTATTAAAAAGATATTTCTCAGTATGCCCTTTTCGTGGTCTAGTGGAACTTTTTAGTTTTCCTTCCTCCGGACAGAAGTAAAATCAGACTTTTGAGATCTGCTTTACCTGCAGTAGCAGGATACAGCATGCCAGAAATTTGATTTGCTTCAGTATTGCCTTTATATTGGCTTTAGCTCATACTCTGCCTCATTTATAATGCCTGTATTGAGCCAAAGTGGATGTTATTGGATGTGGGGAAATTTAAATAGGTATCACTGAGACTTAAATGAGATTTCATCATATGAAGAAGTAACCATCAAACTGGTATATTTTGATCATAACCCTAGTACATCCTTTGCAAATGTAAGTCTTGCAAATAATTTGTATTTATTTCTTACAGAAAATGCATCAAAAACATGGATTGGTTTGAGCAGTAATACATTTCCCGTTTCCTTTGAATGGTCTAATGGCTCCTCAGTCGTCTTCACGAACTGGCACAAACTGGAGCCTCAGATTTTTCCAAACAGAAGCCAGCTATGTGTCTCTGCTGAGCAATCTGTAAGTTGATTCATTTTTGCTTCAGTGCTCATTTTTTTTTTCACCAGTACTAAGGATCATTTGTTCCAATGACATGAGCTATGACAGACTTAAGACAGGCATAGTTTCTGCTTCTTGTGTGGCTTCCATGCTAGGCAGTGAACAAGGACACACAGGGAAAAGCATGGCCATCATTGTCGCAAAGACTGCTCCAAGAAAATTCATGCCAGTTTGGAAAGAAGCTTGGTGGGGACAACTACTTCATAGAGACGGTCACTTCTGAAGAGATGGCATTTAAGCTGGGAATTAAGCAACCTGAAAATTTTCTTTCGAATTGCAGGGGAAGAAAATCTAGGCAGGGGATAGATAGCAAACGTAAAGGCCCAGATGCAAGCCAAGACCTCCTGTGTTTAATAATTAAAAAGGAGACCAACAGCGACGAGGTGGTAGAGGATAGGGCAGGAGAAGCGCTTATAGGCCATGGGTCAGAAACCACTGAAATACTTCAAGGAACCAGAGAGCATAATCTGAAGGAATGAACTGACTTACACTTTAAAAACAAAGGTTTCCTACCTAATGAAAGCATTGGAGAAAGGTCAAACGGGAGCAGAAAAACCAGTTTGAAAACTTCTCCCAGATGGAATCAGGATTGTTTCTACAGAAAGAAGTGGACACACTCAAGGGTGCACTGGAAGATAGGATGAGTTTTTAAATCAGACAAGGGGACTGGAGAGAGGTAGGTGTCCAGCTTCAGCAACAGTCACTTTGGTGGATGGTCATACCTTGACCATCATGGTGACACTGAGAACTGCAGGTGCTCTGGGGAGTCATGGTGTGAATGCTCCACTGTCTTAACAAACCCTCTAGAGTCTGAAAAGCTTTTGTAAGCCCTTTGAAAATTGTGACTCAGCTGTAAATCTTGGTCTTTTACTCACACAAACAGAATGGTCCCTATAGTCTTAATATCAGACTTATCTGTATGTTCCCATCTTTAATTTATTGAAACAATTTAATTATACAAAATTAGCTTAACCACAAGCCATGTGGATGGATTATTATGCATTTAAAACAGATTTAACCTTCTTGATTATATGGACAGCTGATGATCATACCAGGTGAGTGGTATTTGAACTGCATCAGAAGAGGGGGAAACAATGGACTTTCTAGATTTGTCTCAGGTTTGCCCTGCGAAAATCCACCACAGCTTCTTCTACAGTATTTGAGGTTTCAGTGATTTGCGAGTTTAATATAATTAAGACTGCCTTCATCTCCCATGAACAAAAAGGATATTTCAGTTAACGTAATCACAGAACAGGAGCCAACATTTGAATGAGAGTAGTTTTATACAGAGTAAAAACAAGTATTCCTATCTTTGGGGAGGTTCAGGAAAATGTTACTTCAGGATGATATTTTCTGATTCCTTTTTAAACATTTTTTAAAATTTCCTTCATGTGAGAAACAGACACAGAGACAGATGGACAGAGTTCTTACTTGCCAGTTCACTCCCTAGAGGCCTGCAGCAGCGTAGGTATAAGCCAGGACCCAGGAATACAACCGGTGTAGCCCATGTGGGTGGCAGGAATCCAGTGGTTCCAGCCATGACCTCTACCTGCCAGGGTCTGCACCAGCAGGAAGCTGAAGACCGGAGGCAGTGCGGGATATCAAACCCCACTAATCCAGTGTGAAATGCAGACTGTTCCATTACCAGGCTCACTGCCCACTCCACCATGGCTCATTTTGGCTATCAGTGGCTACACAGCTACTTAAATAGTAGGCATGTAATAATTAACATTTATTTCTATCAAGTGGATCTTACTATGAATATAATTATTATAGTTACCAAGTACTAAATTTTGAGAGTTAGGAAACTGTTCATTCTCTCCATTGGACAATTTTTAAGCAACCAGAGTCTGCCTGACACTATCTTATAACTGCATGGTTTGCTGGAATAAGCTGTGGCAGAGGGATGTGGGCTGTGAATACAAGTGGACATGTCATACCCACTGCCATATAGGATGTTTCTGAATATCATAGAAATGTGTGGTTTTAATGTAACATTCTATTTGTGCATTAAAATAAAATAAAATCCTTTAGGATGATAAAATTTTAGATTGTTGACAGTTATTCTGTTATTATGAATGAAGGACCTGAGAAGCCTTTGGTAGAACTAAAAAAAAGTATCAAAGTAATTGCCTACCATCTAAAGGGAGAGCACTCTGAAGAAAGATTTTGAGAGTTAGCCGGGCTGCTCAGCTATGAAAGTGCTGTCTAGGGAGATTCGTGGCAGCTTCCAGCATCACAAGTTATACATGAAAACAGCAGATTCACTTGAATACAAATAAATGGCTGAAGAGGGAAGCAGCATTCTCACTTGGTCAAAGAGATGGCTTTGTCCACATGTATAGCATTGGTTGTAATAAAGGGGTATGAATGTTATTGGGTAAGGTTTTAGGGGTGTTTGGAGGGGGGAAATGATTAATTCGGTTGGTGTAGAGGGATGGGAAGGGGATAATTTAAGGAATAGGGTGGAGGTATGGGTTGTTGTTAATGGGGGAGTTGGTGGGGGGGGTGGGGGGGGTGGGGTGGGGGGGGGGGGGGGGGGGGGTGGGTGGGGTGAGGGGGGGGGGTGGTGGGGGGGGTGGGTGGGGGTTTGTAGGGTGTGGGGGGTTTGTGGGGGGGTGGGTGGGGTGGGTGGGGGGTGGGGTGGGGTGGGGGGGTGTGGGGTGGTGGGGGGTGATAGGGGGGTATGGGGTTGGGTTGTTTTGTTTGTTTGTTTGTTTTTTGATTTTGTGTTTGAGTTTTTTTTTATTTGTTTTTTTTTTTTTGTTTTTGTTTGTTGGGTTTGGGATTTTGTTGTTTTTATTGGTTTGGTTGGGGGTTGGTATTGTTGGTTGGTTTAATGATGTGTTTGTTAATGTTTTTTGTGTGTTTGTGTTTGGGGGTATGTTTAGAATTTGTTTGTTTGTGTTTGTTTGGTTATTGTTTGTTTGTCTGGGTTGTTTTTTTGTTTGTTTTTTAGTGGTTTTGGGGTTGTTTTTATTGTAGTTGGGGGGGTATAGATGTTTACAACTTTGCTTCTGATATCAATCATTATCCCCATTTTTGGTGACCACGAAACCTTGTGCAAAAATGAAATGAACCTTCAGGGTGGCAATGAAAATCCTTGACTCACAGGAAAATACCCAATATTATGCTTGGCACACAGCAGTCAAGAACATCAGTTGCTTCCTGTTTCCTGTCCACTCTGATGGCATGTGTGTCTTAGACCACTGACACATCTGGGATGACCTCTCCAACAGGAAGAGTGTCTGCTAGGCAATGTCCTAATATATAAACCCAATGGAATCCCTTGACACTGGGGATATTTGTTTTCAGAAGCAATGAGTTCACCCTTCATGGGTTAGCATGGAGCATAGTCATTCAACTTGTGACATCTTTCCTCTTAGGAGGGACACTGGAAAGTTACCAAGTGTGAAGATACACATTTTTACACTTGCAAAAGGCCGGGCCATGTCCTTTCTGATGCTGAATCAGGATGTTCAGAGGTAAGTGTTACTCACACTGCAAGACACTACAATCTAGGCTCAAAGGCTGCCTAACTTGGACAATACTTGTATATCTACCAATAATTTAAATTATCGATAATTTAAAGTAAAAATCTATTTTGTTTTCTTTCTCACTCTTTTTCTCGTTCCCTCTGTTGCAGCCCCCTTCCTCTTATCTCTCCCTTACTCTTTCTCCCCCTTTCTTGCCTTTCTCTCTCTCTCTCTCTCTCCTACCTCTTCCTCTATTTCCCCTCCCTTCCCGGCAGCCCACCTCTTTTTGTTCTGGTTATGGGGTACTTTCGATAAACCAGTTATCAGCCAGAAACACCTGAATAATTTACAGCTTCAGAAAAATCATGGTCATTAAAGCCATTTTCAGGCTGAACAAATATCAAGATATGCAAGCAAAAGTCTGAGGAGTTTTGAGTGATTTTGAAAACCATACGATTGAACTAATAAATGTGGATGTTCAAGAAAAGTCCTTTGATATTCAACTAAATTAGAGTATGACCTTAATTCCCTTTCTCATTTTTTTAAGGCGTGGGAGAGACATGGTGAATTCTGCTACAAAATTGACACAGTCCTTCGAAGCTTCAAGGATGCTTCCAATGGCTACTACTGCCCTCCTGCACTTGCGACCATTTCAGACAGGTACCTAACATTCTAACAGAAACATCGCTGAATTCTTGGAATGATGAAATGTGACTGTAAATAGACTTTGGTGTCACCTTAAAAACGCTATAATTATAGTATTAAATTATTTAAACTCATTCTATATTATTCTATATTATGCCTAAATTTATTTTTGAGTTGCCAATAGTAAAATTTAAGCTGTATCCTATTTTCCATAAGAATTTTAATTATCTACCTTGGTCCAAATATTCAGTTGTGTTAAGATTTTGAAGATCTAAATACATGTAATGGAAGTACATTGTTTAATAATTTAAGTATGCTTTAATATGTGTGAGCTGCCTAGGGATATTTTCAGCAGAGAAGGAAGTAACTAAGATGCGGATGTTTTCAAATGCCTCACCACTGCCTCTTCAGTCTACCTTGTTAGATTTAGATTTCTCTGGGCACTGGTGACCTCCTAATGATGGCAGCAAGCCTGCATGCCTGTCTCTCACTCCACATGATTTGCAGCATGCCACATGCCACAGATGTGTAATAGGGGATAAAGGTGACTTTGCATTACTGTCAATGCCACAAAGAGAGTCTAGTGGGGAGAATAACTCTTTCATGCTGAAAAGTGAATCAAAACAGAACTCTTCAGTAGCCCCAGAGGGAAGTGCACTTGCAAAACAAGTCACTCACTTTTCTTTTGCCTAGGTCACTGCCTTTGCAAATGCCTACATGAGGGGAAAATATTGTGGTACTACCCGCTGTGCCATTTCTCACAACTTTCACATTATGTATCAGGGTGTTGATTCAAGTCCTATCTTTCTGGTTCACACTAAGGCATCTGTGAAGACAGTGGCAGAGAGTCCAAGCATTTAGGTCCTTGCTCCTCCTCCTGGTTCCTGGCTTCAGCCTAGCCTGGCATCATTTGTTGTAGACATTTGGGAAGTGAATCAGTGGATGGAAGGTTCTCTTTCACTCTCCATCCCTCTATCTTCAAATAAACAAATAAATGAGTATTTTTTTTCCAAATGCTCTTTGGATACTAGGAAATATTTCAGGACAAGTGGTGCTATGATTTCTAACCACAGACCTTTCACATCCACATCTAATTGGTGGAGGAGTACATGTTCTTTACTCTCCACACTTTGGGAATCAAAAGCCACCACTATTTCTTTTTCTCCTTTTATTGTTCTACCTTCCTGCCTTGTCTTTCCTCAAAAGAAATGCAGAGATGCACACACACACATACGAACGAATGGATAGATAGCATTTGGCAAAATAATTTGGCCTTTTCAGAGAATAATACTATCAATTTAAGAAATGCTTAGGGCTTTTTGTTTTAACAAAAAGAGAGAGAAAGAGAGGGTGAGCGAGACAGAGATCCAGTCTGCTGCTGTAAACCCCAAATGCCCACAATGACCAGCACTGAAGCTACAAGCCAAGCTCTCAACCCAGGTCTCCCACGTGCTTGGCAGGAATTCCATTTCCTGAGGCATCATCACTGCTTTTAGGATCTACATTAGGATCTGGAGTTAGGAGCTAGAGCTGGGAATTAAATGCAAGTATTCCAGTGTGGGGGTGCAAGCATCTAATCTATTAGGCCCAACAGCCCAACACTACCATTGGTTGGCTTCAGGGTTCTCCCTCATTTTCCCTTTTTCTTTCCCAGGTGTAGCTTCCAGGCAGAATAAATCCCTAACCCATTTTACTTAATTACTCACCCCAAGACACTGTGTTTGAGGACTGTCAGGATGTAATACTGGACATTACAGCACCCTGTCCAATAAAACTCTGCTCTTCTACTGATATAATTTACATTTTCCACTGGAGAAAATAATTCTAACTCTTTCAGCTATTTCTTATGTCATTCTTTCTTCGTTAAAAATATTCATTGGGCACCTGTCACACAGCTGACAATTTGCTAATGGCTTTTCATATGTTATCTGACCATGCAAAATTTTAATAGTTAGGAGTTTATTAGAAAGTTATTTATTGAATAGCTACTTTGTGAGATCCACTATATTAACCACTGACATGCCCTAGGAAAGAAGTCAAAGTGATGATACAATCAAACAGGATGAAACAAGAGAAGATATGAATGTGATTTGGGCAATGAACATACTAATTTCCACAGATATAAAAAATAGGTGGAGGCTAGCATTGTGTAATAGTAAGAGAATAAACACACATTGATGGTGCATGTGCAGACCACACTATATAAGGAAATACCCAGCGTGAGTGCACCAAAGAGAGTCTTGCAAATGGGAGAGAATTTGTGAACATGGAAACCTGTGACAGCAGGAGAGCAGAAGAGGTTTTCCACTGAAGAAAAACAGAAAACAACAATTGTACATCTGGGTGCACATGTAGTATCTTGCCTTTTTACCTCCTTCGGGAAGAATAGGATGACACCCCAATCAATTAGAAAACCAGATGGGGTCTGCGCACCTGCCTTGAGTCACAGATGTGACAGTTGCACCCTGGAAAGCCCACTGCTAAAAAAAAATGCAGGGCTATGAGTTCCAGTTCACCTAAACTTGACCTTTCCAGTTACAGTGTATCAGACAGACGAGCACAATAAATGGCTAAGTGCACAGTTGCATTATAAGTGCCAAACTTGTTTAGGCTAAAGCAAGACATCTACTAAGAGTTCAAGTACTTATTGTTCTATAAAACTTTGGGGACATCATGCAAATGACAGTAAACGTGGGGGGAAAATGAGTTTCATTTCCCTAAAACTCAATACAAGAGTATGTTGTGAAAATAGAGATGACCTTGAAGTTCAATGGTTTGAACTACTCAAATCCACTTACATATGAATTTTTGTTTTGTGAAATCTGTGGCAACCTAAAAAAATTCAGATGAAATACATAACTAGAAATATTGAAAAAAAATTAAGTGAAACATGTCATGACCATACAAACTATATGGAAATAATAGTCTCTTTTATCATTTACTATTACAATGGATGGAAATCTATTCTAAAAGGTTAAAAATTGATCAAAATTTACACACACACAGCATGGTACAATTTATAATCGAAAATAATGTAAACAAACAAAAAGATGTAGTTGTAAAGCATAACTGCATAAAAGCAACTATACCACAAATCTTACTTACTGTACCACTATCCCATAATTTCTTAGCCACCTCTGTTACTATTGTGTTAAAGTTATACACAGAAGTTCCACTGATAGGCTGCCAGCACTTCTACTTTTGCATTGTTCAAGGGTCACCAGTAATCCAAACTTGCTCTTTGATAGATGAAATTCAGTAGCTGATACTCTATTGTGATTAAACACTACAGCAAAATTATAGTGTAGGTAAGCTTCTTTTTACCTCAACCTCAGCCTCCTCCACGCACCTGTAAATCTTGTTGGACAGCTGCCAGGTCAGTACCCAAGCCCCTAGGATTCAGAGCGAGCAGCAACATGTCCTCTCTCCTTGTCGCTCTACACACATGTATTTCAGAATTCTAAGGACTTGGTGGGAAAACTGGAATTAATGAATGTTTATTTTGGTGCAAAACACTCTTAAAATTCATGCATACTTTTTTATAACACACTTTCCATATACATTTTGTAGCCTCCCTTTTCCATTAAAGCAATGCTGAAATCCAAAGTAGTGACTCCAAAACAGGACTTGAGGGTGGAAGAAAGGAATAATCCCACTCTTGAGTTTTATTTATATTTAGTTTATCATCTATCCTGCTGTGTGAGTGACGGGACATGTTGGGACACTCTCCAATAGCAACTTTTCTCTGAGAAGGTCTGGAAGCAGGTGGAAGGTCTCCTCAGATGTGGGAGTGTCCACTCGCTGCCTTGGTAATCATCTTCTTCCATTACCGATTTCCTGTTTGAGTCCAGGCACTCCTGTCACTCTTCAATACCCAAGCTTGTAAGTGCTAATTGATTTTCCACTCTTCTGCACAACTGAGTGGCAGGTTTGATGGGCACAATTAGAACCACCTGCTACAGAGTACTTACTTCTTTTGTTATTGGGCAACTGCTCCTGGTCTCGGATTTTTAACTCTTTGTGGCTTAAATGTGGGATGAAAAGCAAGAATTGCTTGCCAGCTCTTGGAAAACTCTTTGAGATCTAACCCCTTTATTTCCAGACACAGCAGGAACGCAAATGTTGAGTTCTCAAGATAGCATGGATAAGTGTCTAAATGAAAGTATATCTTATTTTTTAATCAATCACCCCATACATTATTGAGTACAGAATGATATAAATGATATCCAATGTGGTGAATTTTATTCAAAATGATGAAAAATCCTATAAATTTGTCTTATCTAAAAGTACGCCATTTTTAAGCATTTTTACAGATGTGCCACTTTCCTAGAATTGTCAGAAATACTTTTCAAATTCATTTATCATGGTAAAATATGTGGAACATGAAATTCACAATTTTACCCATCTTTAGATAACAGTAGCATTAGATGCTTTATACTGTACCTAACACCAGAACCTATCTCTGTGACTTTTTATTTTCTCAAACTGAAACTCTGCACATAAAAAAAAAAAAAATAGCAGTCTATTTTATTAATTCCACTCCAACCCTGGCCACCACTACTGTGTAGAACGTGTTACTGTTCTAAATGCCCCATGTTAGTGGATTTATTCAGTATTTATCTTTCTAGCGTATGGTTTCTTTCATATAATGTCTTCAAGACTTATCCACGAAGACTATATTACACTTTACTTTTAAACAAGTATATTTTTATTGGAAAGGCCAATTTACAAAGAGAATGAGATACAGAGAGAAAGATCTTTCGTCTGCTGGTTCACTCCCCAACTAGCAGCAATGGCGAGAGCTCAGCTGATCTGAACCCAGGAGCAAGGAGCTTCTTCTGGGTCTCCCATGCAAGTGCAGGGTTCTAGAGTTTTTGGCCATCCTTTACTGCTTTCCCAGGCCAAAAGCAGGGAAATGGATGGGAAGTGGAGCAGCCAGGGCACAAACTGGCACCTATATAGGATCCTAACACTTGAAAAAGGAGCATAAGCCAACTGAGTCATTTCACCAGGCC